GCTGAGACTGCATCACTGCACCATCTGCCTGGGCAGCAGAGAGGCTGTCTCCAAAAAAGTTATTTTGATAATGGACAATGCCTCTTGCCACCCAGAACCCATGAGTTCAACAGCAAGGCGTCGACATGGTCTGCTTGCCCCCAGACACAATGCCTCTAATTTAGCCTTTATCAGAGGCCATACGGAACTTAAGGCTCACTACACATGGCGCTCTTTGGAGAGGATGTCAACGCCGCGGCCGAAAACCCCACAGAGAGAAGAACACCCTGAAAGCCTGGCAGGTTTCCACCACTGCAGCCATCGCTGCTATAGAAAAAGCCACGGAAGCCATCAAGCCCCAAATAATAAATTCCTGATGAAGAAAGCTGTGTCTAGATGTCGTGCCTGACTTCACAGGATGTCCAATGGTGCCGATCAAGCAAATCATGAGATCAATTGCAATATGGCCAAAAAAAAAAAAAAAAAAAAAGGTCAGGGTGCGGGGTGAAGGATTTCACAGCATGGATCTTGGAGAAACCCCAGAGCTGACCCCACAGCAGAGGAATGAACGGGAGACAATTCAATGGGGACGAGTGTTTCCGAACCGGTGCCAGACGATGAGGAAACAGATGTAGAAGCAGTGCCAGAAAAGAAACTGACATCAGACAGACACTCCTGCAGAAGGGCTCCCACCACTCATGCCTGCCTTGATTTTTTACCACGTGGAACTGTCTATGACATGGGCACTGAGACTCAAGTGTGAAAGTGGGATTGGCACTGTATAGAAACCTTTTTAGAGAAAGGAAAAAGTAAAAAAGTCAGATGGAATTACAATGTATTTCTGTCAAGTTACACCAAGGGTGCCTGCCTCTGCTGCCCTCCCTTCCACCTCCTCCACCTCTGTCACTCCAGAGACAGCCCCTCCCCTGCCTCCTCCTCCTCAACCTCCTCAATGTGAAGATGATGAGGATGAAGAGCTATAAGATGATCCGCTTTGGCCGGGCGCGGTGGCTGAAGCCTGTAATCCCAGCACTTTGGGAGGCCGAGACGGGTGGATCATGAGGTCAGAAGATCGAGACCATCCTGGCTAACACGGTGAAACCCCGTCTCTACTAAAAAATACAAAAAACTAGCCGGGCGAGGTGGTGGGCGCCTGTAGTCCCAGCTACTTGGGAGGCTGAGGCAGGAGAATGGCGTAAACCCGGGAGGCGGAGCTTGCAGTGAGCTAAGATCCGGCCACTGTACTCCAGCCCGGGCAACAGAGCGAGACTCCATCTCAAAAAAAAAAAAGATGATACGCTTCCACTTAACAAACAGTAAACATATTTTCTAAGATTTCTTTTTAGACAGGGTCTCACTTTGTCACCCAGGCTAGAGTGCTGTGGCACCATCTTGGCTCACTGCAGGCTCGACCTCCCAGATTCAAGTGATCCTCCTGCCTCAACCCCCCTAGTAGCTGGACTACAGGTGTAAGCCATCACATCTGGCTAATTTTTTGTATTTTTTGTAGAGAAGGGGTTTTGCCATATTGCCTAGGCTGGTCTTGAACTCCCAAGCTGAAGCAAGCCACCTGCCTTGGCCTCCCAAAGTACCAGGATTAAAGGTGTGAGCCACAGTGCCCAACCAACTTCTACTTTTTTATTACTTTCTTTTTTCTTCTTTTTTTTTTTTGAGACGGAGTCTCACTCTGTCACCCAGGCTGGAGTGCAGTGGCGCGATCTCGGCTCAGTGAAACCTCCACCTCCCGAGTTCAAGTGATTCTCCTGCCTCAGCCTGCCAAGTAGCTGGGATTACAGATGTGTACCACCATGCCCAGCTAATTTTATATTTTTAGTAGAGACGGGTTTCACCATGTTGACCAGGCTGGTCTCGAACTTCCGACATAAAGCGATCCATCTGCCTCAGCCTCCAAAGTGTTGGGATTACAGGCATGAGCCACTGTGCCTGGCCTCTTATGATTTTCTGTTTTTTTCTTTTCTTTTCTTTTTTTTTTTTTTTTGAGATGGAGTCTCACTCTGTCAAGTGCAGTGGCGTGCCATTTTGGGTCACTGCAATCTCCACCTCCTGGGTTCAAGCGATTCTCCTGCCTCGGTCTCCCAAATAGCTGGGATTACAGGCGTGCACCACCATGCCTGGCCAATTTTGTATTTTTCGTAGAGACGGGGTTTCACCATGTTGGTCAGGCTGGTCTCGAACTCCTGACTTCAAGTGATCCCCCTGACTTGGCCTCCCAAAGTGCTGTGTGATTTTCTTAATGACATTTTCTTTCCTCTAGCTAACATTACTTTAAGAATCAGCATAGAATACACATAACATGCCCAATGTGTGTTAATCAACTGTATTATCAGTAAGGCTTCTGGTCAACAGTAGGTTCTTAGTAGTTAAGTTTTTGGGGAGTGAAAAGTTATATGTGAATTTTTGACTGCATGGGGCTAGATGCTCCTAACCCCCTCATTGTTTAAGGAACAACTGTATTTCAAGTTATGATTTTAAAATACGCTAGGTGTAGACTTAAAAACACACGAAGAGAAACAGTGTCTGTCCAGCTTCGTCATGGCCACAGTGCAGCTAAGCAAGCAGTCCTGCACCACTGCCATCTGCTCTGTGTCTGTTTGGGCTCGACTCTGCCTTGGTTTCCTCATCTAGGTATGAGAACCCTGATGGGTGCCCTCACAACGCGAGCCAGCTGAGGGCACAACCCTCTCTCACCACCACCAGTAGGGTCTGCACAGCAGGCTGGAAAGCAGCTTCCCACTGCAGATCTGATTAGAAATAGCAAAGACAGTGTCCTTGAAGTTCTTCTCGATTTATACAAATTGCACAAATATCATGTCAATAAAAGATGCAAGAAAATTCACCTGAGTCACTGTCCACCACCCGTTGTGATTACACAGTATCTTCCTAAGCAGCCTATGTGTTTTTTATTTATAGTCACAACGTTTCTTCAGAAAAGAAAAAGGAAATGACCTGTGGGAGCTGACACAGAGGCTGCCCCTGTGCGGGTTCCTGGGGTCCCACTGAAGGCCCCCAGGCCCAGGATCCTCCCAGCTGAACTCACTGACCTCCCCTACCAGACCCCACGGCCTGAGCTCCCCTCCTGAGCAAAGCTGCCCCACCCGGCCCTGTCCCTCTCGGAGCCTGCCTGGCTCCGTCCCGTCTTGACCTCACTGCCTTTCAGCTTGTAAGGTGGATTCTCCAACTGCTTCGCCAGGGCCACTGCCCCGGGACCACCATGATGGCTACTTTCTGGGCATCCCATGATACCCGGCAATGCCAGGCACACGGAGAACCTGCTGCTGCTCTGCCTGGGGTCACATGACCCACACTGAGTAACAAAAACCATTTCTTTTTTTTTTTTTTGAGATGGAGTCTCGCTCTGTTGCCCAGGCTGGAGTGCAGTGGCAGATCTTGGCTCACTGCAAGCTCCGCCTCCTGGACTCACACCATTCTCCTGCCTCAGCCTCCCGAGAAGCTGGGACTACAGGCGCCCGCCACTACACCCGGCTAATTTTTTTTTTTTTTGTATTTTTAGTAGAGAAGGGGTTTCACCGGGTTAGCCAGGATGGTCTCGATCTCCCGACCTTGTGATCCACCCGCCTCGGCCTCTCAAAGTGCTGGGATTACAGGCGTGAGTCACCGCTCCTGGCCCAATAAAAACCATTTCAACAGGAAAAGGGCTCTTTAGAACTTGATGGTTATAGATCCAAGGGAAGAAAATTCTTTTCCCACAATAGTTTAAAAAATAAAGGTTACTGTATCACCAAAGTAGAATGGCTACAATCTAAAACTGATTAACTCATTAGTAAGTAAAACCTTGAAGTTTTAAAAGTTAACGTCTAACTTAGGTGTTAATTAATTAATTTATTTTTTATTTTTTGATTTTTTGATAGGGAGTCTCGCTCTGTCACCAGGCTGGAGTGCAGCGGCGTGGTCTTGGCTCACTGCAACCTCCACCTCCCGGGTTCAAGAGATTCCCTGCCTCAGCCTCCTGAGTAGCTGGGATTGCAGGCATGCACCACCATGCCCAGCTAATTTTTGTATTTTTAGTAGAGACGGGGTTTCACCACGTATGTTGGTCAGGCTGGTCTCGAATTCCTGACCTCAAGTGATCCACCCGCCATGGCCTCCCAACATGCTGGGATTACAGGCCTGAGCCACCGCGCCTGGCCAGGTATTAAAAATTGTGTGTTTTGTCTTGTTTGTTTTGTTTTTGAGACAGGGTCTCATTCTATGGCCCAGGCTGGAGTACAGTGGCACAATCATGGCTCACTGCAGCCTCAATCTCCTGGGCTCAGATGAGCTTCCTACTGCACCTAGTCCAAGTTTTACGTTTTACAGCACTAAGAAGTCTAAACACCACTGAAAAAGCCCAAAGCACGGCATAAACAGAAATCCAAAACAAGGCTGAGTGTGGTGGCTCATGCCTATAATCACAGCATTTTGGGAGGCCAAGGAGGTGGGTGGGTCATTTCAGGCTAAGAGTTCAAGCCCAGCCTGGCCAACATGGTGAGACCCTGTCTCCACTAAAAATGCAAAAATTAGCCAGGCATGGTGGTGCACGCCTATAGTACCAGTTACTTGGGAGGCTCAGACACGAGAATTGTTTGAACCCGGGAGTTGGTGGGGAGGCTGCAGTCAGCCAAGATCGTACCACAGCAATCCAGCCTGGGCACAGAGCAAGACTCTTCTCAAAAAAAAAAAGAAAGAAAGAAAAAGAAAGAAAAGAAAAGAAAAGAAGGAAGGAAGAAAGGAAAAGAAAGAAGAAAGAGAGAGAGAAAGAGAAAGGAAGGAAGGAAGGAGGGAAGGAAGGAGGGAAGGAAGGAGGGAGGGAAAGAAGGAAGGAAGGAAGGAAGGAAGGAAGGAAAAAGAAAGAGAAACAGAGAAATGCCAAGCAGCAGGCTCCCAGGCCCCAACCCTGGAGTGGGACCCTCTGCTCCCTGGGCATCAGCACAGTGGTTCCACTTCCCTCCTCTCCTGGGAGCACTGACATGCAGCACGATGTTGGGAGGCGAAACACTCACTTCCTCTTAAATGTTTCCTCTTCCTTCTTCCTGGTTAGCTGCACAGAGTGAAGTTTATCCTCTAAGTCCTTTACCCTGAAAAGAAACAAATATTTGTGGAAGGAGCAAGTGAGATGAAAACAAAGGCCAGCCTGGAATGAGCAGAAAAGGTAGAATCCCCCAGACTCGTCCTGGCCTGCAAGGCTGCCACAGAGCAGGCCTCAGGAGATGAAGGACTCGCGCACCGGGCGCAGTTCATGGCCTCCAGGTCCCGGAGCTCCGCGGCTCGACTCTGGAGCTTCCTCTCCAGCTCGGCGTTGGTGGCCTCTGCCCTCTGCAGACTCTCTGCAGCCTTTGCCCCGGCTTCCTTCAGAGCCTCCAGCTCTTTGTGCAGTAGTTTAACCTTTGAATGATAAAAAAGAGTTCAAAATGAGGCGATAATTAGAAGACACTCAGGCATTAGGGGTACGTATTGCCATTTTATCAGGATTGGGAGGGAGAAGAAAAATGAAAATTCAAGAAGCAAAGAAGCAGTAAAAGAGTGAGAATGTCCTAACACAACCCAAATGAGACCCAATGATTTTTTTTTTTTTTTTTTGAGACAGAGTCTTGCTCTGTCGCCCAGGCTGGAGTGCAGTGGCGTGATCTCGGCTCACTACAACCTCTCCTTCCTGGGTTCAAGCAATTCTCCTGCCTTAGCCTCATGAGTAGCTAGGATTACAGGCACCCACCATCACACCCAGCTAACTTTTGTATTTTTAGTAGAGACAGGGTTTCCCCATGTTGGCCAGGCTGGTCTCGAACTCCTGACCTCAGGTGATCCACCTGCCTCAGCCTCCCAATGTACTGGGATTACAGGTGTGAGCCACCGCGCCTGGCCTTCACTGACCCCCTGACAGCACTCAGTACCCCACCAAAATCAGTCCATTAGGGTGCCCTAATACCCTAATTGGTCCAAGCCCAACAGACCAATTTAACTGCACTTCATTTCTTAGCACATGATTTGCATGTTATTTAAACAAGGAAATTAAACACAAAGCCAGGGGTCTAGGAAGGGGCTCAGTGCTGAGCAAGCCACTCGAGTCCCAGCTGCACACTGAGCTCTTCAGTACCTTCCCGGGCCTGTTTCCCGGCCTGTAAGCCACGGTGGTGACGATGGCTGCTGCACCCAAGTCAGCCGACATGAGGACCGGGTTGCGCCCGGCCTGAGCTGCACCCGGCCTGGCAGGCGTTGAGACTCAGCTTTTGCTTTTCCTACTGATCTGCGTATTATGATGCCCACCATGGGCAGGTGTCCAGGGCTGTGACCGACTTACACAGCAGATGGGGGCGGAGGTGAACTGGCACCCAGTGCCCACCTTTGATGGGAGTGCCCATGCTGCCATGGGGCACAGGGCATCCACATGGCCCACCTGCTTGCCAGTCTGGAACTCCTGGGCCCAAGGGATCCTCTTGCCTTGGCCTCCCAAAGTGCTGGGATTACAGGTGTGAGCTACCACACCTGACCAAGGAAAAACCAAAAAACCTTCAAGACCCAAGGGTGTCCCCAGTTACCTTGAGCTCCTGGGACAAGGCTGTGTTGCTCATGTTGTCAGTCTGCAGACGGAATTCGTGCTCCCTCTTCTGCATTTTCAATTCAAACTCCAGCAGCAGTTCCTGGAACAAATAGGTTTCATGGTGAAAGAACAGTGGGAACCCAGCAAAGACCCCCACCCATGTCCTGGGAGGTGGGATCCAGAGATGAGCAGGACACGGTGATCAACAGAGAAGGACCACACACACTGTCAAGGAGAGAAGCTGGGGTCAGTGACACCGGTAACGGCACTCTGGGAGGCCGAGGCGGGAGGATCGCTTGAGCCCAGGAATTCAAGACCAGCCCGGGCAACATAGTGAGGCCCTGTCACCACAGAAAAAAAAAGAAAAGAAAAATCCTTATCTCCATTGAGTCGATTCTACCTCTGACAATAACAAACACCAAGATCTTCCAAAACAAGAGACAAGAAATCAGAACAAGGGAAACCATGAAACTGACAAGCATGTAAGACCCCAGTTTAGTAACTAAAAGGCTGAGATGCCAGCAGCAGAACAGAGCTTCCCAACAGCTGGTGCCAGCATCCCAGAGCTCACACAGCATCAGACTGCCCAGAACCACACTAGATGCATGCCGCCCAAATTTCCGCTAGTAACCAAAGCTGCTATGTTAAAACATCACGTTTCCTTCCTTCCAGAGACAAGGCTACTATCTGGACATGATAAAAAATCCATGTTCCCAACATCTGAGATGGCTCTCCCTGAATGAGCCCTGCTGAGTCTGAGAAATTTGGCGTGGATGGCCTGGGAAGTCAGCCAGAGTCACGGCCCAACCAGAAACCCTGACAAGAATGGCGGTGCCCCGCCAACTACAACCAGCCTCAAATCGCCACTGTTCCCAAATGCTGCTGAGAGCCCCCCACCTGCTGGGCAGGACCACCCACAGCTGGATCCTCCTCAAACTCCTTCTTTGGAAGTGACTTTGGAGCCACTTGAGGGAGCCTCATTACTTAGAAAAGTCACCACTGGTCTCTGCTTGACCACAGATTTTAGATGCTGGCTTCATACCTAATGAACTCTGGGCGTTCTCAAACTCACCTACAATCGACAAAGCTCTTTGGCCTCTGAGAATTCCAAGAGAAAGTCCTCTGCAGGCCATTTCAGAAGCAGCCTCAGGGACCTGTGAACAAAGGAAGTGAGCTCAGCACTTCCGGGGACAAGTGGACAGTCCACACGAGGGCCCATCATGATGTGAGCGTGGCCTCCTTCTCTAGTGACCTGACTGCGGCAAATTCTCAACACCACACTGGCCTATCCTACCATGACCAAGCTCCCAACATCCGACAGGACCAGAGAGGGGACCCTGTCACACCTCCACAAAGCCCTTCATCACTGCTGCACCTGCACAGACGCAGCCCCTCATGACATCCCCACAGACACAGCCTCTAGTAACACTTGCACCTACCTGCATAGACACAGCCACTTATTACACCTGCACCTGCATAAATGCAGCCCCTCATCACACCTGCACTTTCATAGAAGAAGCTCCTATGACACTGCAGAGACGCAGCCCCTCGTGACTCCTGCACCTGCAGAGACGCAGCCCCTCGTGACTCCTGCACCTGCAGAGACGCAGCCCCTCGTGACTCCTGCAGACGCAGCCCCTCATGACACCTGCAGAGACGCAGCCCCTCATGACTCCTGCACCTGCAGAGACGCAGCCCCTCGTGACTCCTGCACCTGCAGAGAAGAAGCTCCTCGTGACTCCTGAACCTGCAGAGACGCAGCCCCTCGTGACTCCTGCACCTGCAGAGACGCAGCCCCTCGTGACTCCTGCACCTGCAGAGACGCAGCCCCTCGTGACTCCTGCACCTGCAGAGACGCAGCCCCTCGTGACTCCTGAACCTGCAGAGACGCAGCCCCTCGTGACTCCTGCACCTGCAGAGACGCAGCCCCTCCTGACACCTGCACCTGCACAGACACAGCCCCATGTCATATACCTGCACCTGTACAGGCACAGTCCCTCATCACACGTATACCTGCAGAGACGCAGCCCCTTGTCACATATGCACACAGTAGCAGCATCTCTGACTGTGGTCTCTGGATATAAATCTATAGGATGTCTTTCGACAAAACCCCAGGACAGCTCGGTCTCTTGGAGGTGTAGGCTGAGTTTCAAGAACCCTGAGGAGAAATTCGGTGACTGCCATTTGTCAGTTGAAGCATTTTAAACTTACCATAATTGAATTCCAAATTCTTTTCTACAGTAAAAATTCATGTTTTTAAAATTATACTTCTCTAAAAATCAATTTAAAAGTTTCATCATTTCTGAGGTGTGCTGGTTAATTCCATGTGTCAAACGACTAGGCTACAGGCTGCCCAGATAGCTGGTAAAAAATTATTTCTGGGAGTGTCTGCAAGGGTGTTTCCAGAAGAGACTAGCATTGTAATTCACAGACGAAGTAAAGATGATCTGCCCTCCTAGTGTGGACGGGTGTCATCCAATCCACTGAGGGCCTGAACAGAACGAAATGCAATGAAGGGTGAACTTGTTCTCTCTGCTTGAGCTGAGACATTCGCCTTCTCCTGCCTTGGACACTGGGCTCCTGCATCTTGAGCCTTCAGAACTGGACCAGGACTCACATCAGTGGCTCCCTGGTGCTCAGGCCTTTACACCTGGGCTGAATTACACCACCAGCTTCCCAGGTTCTCCAGCTTGCAGATGGCAAACTGTGGGAGTTCATGGCCTCCATTAACTGCATGAATGAATTCCTACGATTTATCTCCTATTGCCTGTTTCCCTGGAGAACCCTGACTAATCCGTGAGGAAAGGAAACAAGGAAACACCGTGGAGGTGGCTGCATGCAGACAGCCCATCCTGTTTCCCAGCAGACCATCTCAGAGTGGCATCTGCCCCGATGACGCCATTGTACTCCAAGGAGAATGCAGGCAATGAACCAAATGGTTGTCTTTTCCTCAGCCCTACATGACTTCAGCTTCCCAGTGGGCAGGTGGGGAAAGCACCCAGGAAGGGGCTGACCCAGAGACTCTACCTGTCTCTGCAGAGCAAGCTCACCATCGAGCTCCTCAAGTTTTCTCTCCAGCCTGCATTTTAGATTTTCATATTGTTCCCGGTGGTGGTCGATCTCACCATTCTTGTCACTGTGGTAATAAAACAGCATTAAGAAAAAGCCACACCAAATATTCAGCAAAGGTAACACATTTTCAAGGTGTACTTGACACGTGAAAGTTGGTGCTCTGCTTTTACGAAGGGGTGGTTTCAGTAGGACTCACAGGGTAGCAGAACTTCCAGCCCCACCTGGACCAGCATGCTACACCAATCTATAAAAGAGGAAATTAAATAGGGCCCAAAGTCTCACAACATAAAATCCAAAATGTCCAGGATACAATAAAAAAAAAAAACTGACAACCAAAAACCAGAAAGATCTGACCGGTGCGGTGGTTCATGCCTGTAATCCCAGCACTTTGGGAGTCCAAGGTGGGCAGATCACAAGGTCAGGAGATCGAGACCATCCTGGCTAACAAGGTAAAACCCCATCTCTACCTAAAATACAAAAAAAATAGCCAGGTGTGGCAGCGGGCGCCTGTAGTCCCAGCTACTAGGGAGGCTGAGGCAGGAGAATGGCGTAAACCCAGGAGGCGGCGCTTGCAGTGAGCCAAGATAGCGCCACTGCACTCCAGCCTGGGCGACAGAGCAAGACTCCATCTCAAAAAAAAAAAAAAAAGAAAGATCTGAGCTTGAAAGAGAAAAGACAATAGGTGATGCCAACACGAAGATGACACAGACGCTGGAATTCTTCAACAAGGATGCTATAGCAGTCGTTATAAAAGCACTTCAAGTAATCGAATAAAGAAAACGGAAAAACAAATCTCAGCAAAGAAAAAGCTATAGCAGGCTCGGTGTGGTGGGTCGTGCCTATAATCCCAGCACTTTGGGAGGTTGAGGTGGGAGGATCACTTGAGGTCAGGAGTTCGAGACTAGCCTGGCCAACATGGTGAAACCCCGTCTCTACTAAAAATACAAAAATTAGACGGGCATGGTGGCGCACACCTGTAATCACAGCTCCTCCGGAGGCTGAGGCAGGAGAATCCTTTGAACCCCGGAGGCAGAGGCTGCAGTGAGCCGAGATCACGCCACTGCACTCCAGCCTGGGTGACACAGTGAGACTCTGTCTCAAAAAAAAAAGAGTGTGAGACTGAGAAAGTACCTGAACATGGCTGAAAACATCCCACGCTTGGAGAGAAGAATGAGCAAAAGACTTGAAGAGACACCTCACAACATAATGTAAAGCACTTTTAAAAGGATGCTCTAAACACTCTGGAAAACAGCTATGAGAAAGTCAGCACCCACACGGGAGGGCAAGTGGGCCTCAGCTGTCCAAGCACTGCATGTGCCTGCATGGACTCGGCGTCTGGACAAGGTGCAGCCTGAGCGCCAGCCTTCATGCTGGGGACGGGAGCTTCTAGACACTCTCCCTCCACTCAGGGAGAAGCTGACTTCCAGCTCAACTCTCTAGCTCTTTCCCTGGACCCTGGGAAGGTGGCACATGGGTGTGTGCCACGTTACCAAGCAGTGCTGCTTGGGTCAAACGACTGTGGACTGGCACTTTCTATCCACGCTGTTTATCCATACAGGGAGATGCGATAAAGGAGCCATAAATACTGTAGGCTTCCTAGAAGACAGTGACTCTCGTTGGGGTACATCTGTTGCAGGGACCACAGACGTGATCCCTGTGGGCTGCTACAGGAGATACTGGCTGCGGAATACTGGCTGGGGCTTCTGAGCCAGAGTGGCACCGCACCTACCAACGTGGGTCTCCTCTCCTTGCACCTGACCTGCCGCAGAAGGTCTCTCTGCTGCACAGGAGCACCTGGCGTGGTCCTGTTGGCCTGCTCACACCCATCTGAGACCCTTCTGAGCAAACAGGCCCAGCATACACAACAGAGGGTAGCCGGTCAGTCAAAAGGGTGCGGCAGAACCCAGCACACTGACACAAGGAACAGACGCCACAAATCAATCAGGAAGTGCTGGACGCACATTTTGGAGCGGTGTGCGCAGGCGGCTCTCTTTAGGGCCTGGAGATGACACAACAGATGGCCCGTGGTGGCTTTCACTTTGCCATTCCACCACAGCATCTTCTCTGAGAAATGACTTTCTATGATAAGAATAGTTTACTCCTGTGGCTTTAAAAAGCTGCTTATGGCCAGGTGCGGTGGCTCATGTCTATAATCCCAGCACTTTAGGAGGCCGAAGCCAGTGGATCACCCGAGGTCAGGAGTTCAAGACCAGCCTGGGCAACATGGCAAAACCCCATCTCTACTAAAAATACAGGAAAAAAAAAAAATAGCCAGGCGTGGTGGTGGGCACCTATAGTCCCAGCTACTCTGGAGGCTGAGGCAGGAGAACCACTTGAACCTGGGAGACGGAGCGTGCAGTGAGCCGAGATCCCGCCACTGCACTCCAGCCTGGGCAAAAGAGTGAAACTCCGTCTCAAAAAAAAAAAATGCTGCTTACATTAGAAGAATATATAAAACATTAAAAAAAAAGTATCTAGGCTCCTGTCAAGTGCAAACAGAGCGTGCAGCCGGCTCTCCTGACATCTGCACACGCGCATTACACAGGAAGGGCCTCTAACTGCTAACGTGCTATGATGAACCTGCGGTGCTTCCGAAGTGGGGGATGGAAGATCTTGTCAGAGAAGCCTGTCCTCCTTCCTTCCTGTCTCCCCAAACTCTCCACAGTGCGGCTGGCTGAGTGGCACTGAGGGGACACCAGGCATGTGGGTAAGTTCCAGGAGCCCCACCACAGGCCCCACGACAAAGGCTGTAGGTTTTTATGTCGACTTTGCCTTAAGTCAGCTCATTTAGTTTTGAAATTACTACAGACTTCATAATAAAATCATTATAAATTCAAATACGTGTTAATATAGATTTGTAATTAATGAAATAAATTCCAAATATTTAAACCAATCTCCATTAATTTCAGAGTTATATCAGAGCCCAGAAAAAGACAGGGCATTCCTGGATCCACACACATTCACTCAACAAACACACGTTCAGAGGCCACGAGGCACTCGGCCACTCAGACAGACCAGCTCCCATGGCCCGGAATCAGCAGCGGGAGGAGGGGCAGTGAGAGTGGGCAGTGCTCGGGGGGCACAGCAGAGCAGGGGGCGTGTGGGGGCCTCCGCCAGGTGCTGCGGGGGAGGGCTCATTGGTCGGGGGCTCACCTGTGGATGCGCTCCAGCTCCAGGCGATGCTCCTGCCACACCAGCTGCTGCTGCTGCTGCAGCTCCTCCACCTTCCTGGCCTCTCTGGCTAGCACCTGCCTCAGCTTAGCTGCCTCTATCTTGAGCTCGCTCACCTCTGCCCGCCTGGCCTCCTCCCACTCCCTGGCCCGGGCGAAGGCAGCTTCATAATGCTCCAGCTCGAGGTCCCGCTCCTCCAGCACCTGAAGGTTGTAGACAAAGTCCTCCTGCAGGCACCGCAGTTTCCCCTGCGCCTCCTCCAGCTGGCTCCGTGTGTCCTGCAGAGCCGCCTCCTGCAGCTGGCTGCGGTGGGCCTGCAACGCCCTCCACTCCTCCTCCTTGCGAAGCAGCAGCTCATTCAGGGCCGGCTCTGAGTCCAGTGGCAGCATGGTGGCCGCTGCAGTAAAGAGAAATCAGGTTCAGGGTGCACCGTGAGGGGCCCTAATTTTCCTTCCACAGTACCCACTTCACATTCCCTATCAACAGTTACCATGGCCGGGCGCAGCGGCTCACATCTGTAATCCCAGCCCTTTGGGAGGCCGAGGCAGGTGGATCACCTGAGGTCAGGAGTTCAAGAACAGCCTGGCCTGAACATGGCAAAAACCTGTCTCTACTAAAAATACAAAAATTAGGCCGAGCATGGTGGCTCATGCCTGTAATCCCAGCACTTTGGGAGGTCAAGGTGGGTGGATCACTTGAGGTCAGAAGATCGAGACCAGCCTGGCTAACATGGTGAAATCCCGTCTCTACTAAAAATATAAAAAATTAGCCTGGTTTGGTGGCACGTGCCTGTAGTCCCAGCTACTCAGGAGGCTGAGGCAGGAGTATCGCTTGAACCCAGGAGGCGGAGGTTGCACTCCAGTCTGGGTGACAGAGCAAGACTCTCTCTCAAAAAAAAA